CACTGGCTGGTAGTCAAGTTGTCTGGTTGCTTTCATTGCTGTAGTTGTAGGCTAGGCTGTAGAGTAGATAGGGCGCCTGGCGCCATTCACAAGAGAGAGCTACATTTGGGTTATGCTGTTGGTGTTGCCCGGTTGGGCATGGACATTGACTCACGATTCTTCTGTATCATTCTCAATTGGATGGTTACTCGGTTCCATTGTGCTATCTGCTTTGGCTTGGTCTACTTGGACTTCAGTGTGATTTTGCATTCTGGATTTCTGTGCTTCGTCCATATTCATGTTCCTTGCAATTGTTTCCAAAAAAAAAAAAAAAAAAAAAAAAAGTTTTGGGCACATAGTACCAAATGGCAGAGCTTCGTTTCGGGTGCCCAAAACTGGAGAGCTTTTGGCCTGGGCGCTTTCCACTAATTATCCCCTATAACAACCTGGACTTCTTTGGTTTCCTCCGGGTTGAATTGTGAGGTTTTGGGCCTCGTTGGCTCCTTCTGTTATTGGTAAAAAAAAAAAAAAAAAAAGTGAAAACCAACGGACATAGCTCAGTTAGGGTCTCGCTCCACTACTGTCCACAAAAACGGACAGTAGTACTTCCCTCCACTTACTGTCCACTGTACATGTGCAAAATGGCTTGGACAGTTTTTAGAAACCCACTGTCCGCGAATGTACAGCTCCCAGCCTGCAAAATTCGTTAAGTGGAAAGCCCTTCAAGGGACTCACTGTGAGGACCCGAATTCGGACAGTGGACCTAGAGTCCGGCCGGACAAAATCCTTTGGACGCCCTGTCTTGTAGTTCTGTCACTGCGTCTGGTAGTGAACTCACGAATTTGAGAGGTGGACAGTGGACAGTAAGCGGAGCGATGTAGCATTTTCCATTTTCCACTGTCCGCTGTACAATATTTGGCTCTGACAACTGTCCACCAACTGTCCGAAAAATTGTACAGTGGACAGTAGTGGAGCGAGACCCTTAGTACACCCATGATCCATTCGATGAAAGAAAAAATGCGAAAACAAACAAAAGAGACATCCACGTGCGGCAAACACACATCTTTACTGAGATTGTTATCATGAATGTGACTATGAATGTGGTCATGTTCTTCCCGGTTGGACCCTTTCTATTGGTGTGCAAGATCCTGTCAAGTCAAACAAGTTGGCTCAGTTGGTAAGGCACAGAAGTTGCATTCAGGAGGTCGTGGGTTCAATCCCATTGGCCTCACGTACGTGCCTGGGCAAGCTTGGTGTTCTACCAGCTAGAGATAACCCGTTGCCCCCCCAAGCCAGCATTGGCAGGACCTTGGCTGATGTTGTTGGCTGCTATGCAGGGACAATATTGGCCATTAGACACCGCCATGTGGGGTTGGGGGGGGGTAGGGGGTGGTGCAGTGACTGGGCATTGAGCACCGCCGATTTCCCCCATCGGCAATGCCTGCCCACCCCTTGTCACCGTGATGAGGAACTGGTACAGCCTTGTTCTCGCACCACAGCTGTGGTGCAAACCTACCCCGTGGGCTGGGGAGAGATCCGGGTTGGTTGGTGTTCCCCCGTACTATAAATAGGCTATTGAGAGGATGAGATAGATGCGCACTACCAAGAAAGATGAAATAGATTGAGAGAAGAATATAGATTACTTAAAAAAAAAAAAAAAAAAAAAAACAAGTTGGACTATCCTGCTTTGTTTCTTACTTTCTTTCTTGTGAAAATTGTTGAAATGCCCCTGGGGTATTTCATCAGATACCCGTAAAAGGCACGGTATGGTGAAATGCCCCTATGAGGGTAGTGAACCTTTGCTAAATAGCCCACTCGCCAATTGGTCCTGTCACGTTTTGCGTATACCCCTACCAGGCCCTGGGCAACTTGTTTATATGCCCCCGTATTACTGGCCGTTGGACACTGAAGATTGCAAAAGAAATACAGGGCCCCCTGCAGCCCAGGGCCAGGGTATATGGCAAAGTTGTGGATGAGCAGAATGGGGGCAGATGCAGAAGTTTGCGGCATTTCAGCATATACTCCTGTGTTTTAAGGGGTATCTAACGAAATACCCAAACTTTGAGGGGAATGTCACCTATCTTCCCTTCTTCTTTTTCCGCTCTAGGACTTTCTCCTTTTTTTTGGAAAAAGTTATAAAACTTGCCCGCGACGACACCTTTGTATTCGTTTCCCCGCTACCGCTGGCAAAACGTGCAACGGGCCCCAAAATGACTTTTCGCATCATTTTTGCACCCTGCAAAACACTTTCCCGCCATTTTTATTTTTGCACTGTGTGCGTTACCCGCCCACTCAGGGTGCATGAATGACACCAAAAGTCATTTTGGGGCCTGCGACAATTTTTGCCCCCTGCAAAACACTTTCCCGCCATTTTTATTTTTGCACTGCGTGCGTTACCGGCCCACTCAGGGTGCATAAATGACACGAAAAGTCATTCTGGGGCCTGCGACAATTTTTGCCCCGTTTGGGGGGAAACGAACACAACGGTTTCGTCACGTGGAGGTTTTATAACTTTTCCCTTCCCCTCTTCCTCCCCCTCCGCCCCCAACCCCCTCCCCCCCCAAAAAAAGAGTTTGAGACTGGGGAAGTAGGAACTAGTCAGTTTAATTATCGTACTATGCACAGCAGAATTTCATGTTGAACTTCGTGTGTGTCTTGTGTTGCACATCTTGCAAGAGATGTGACTTGTTCCAGGCTTCACCTGTTCGGGGGAAAGGTCCCACTTGCACGGATTAAGAGATTCTGGCCGTTGATCTCGGCAATCTACGGTCAATGTCGCTTAATTCGTGTAAGTGGGACCTAGCCCAAGGCAGATGGTCAATTCGGACCGTCACGGTATCGTTGTAACTTGTAGTAAGCGGTCAGACTCTGAGCGTGTTGGCGGTCTCTGCCATTGAGCAGAGTCAGGGCCAGATCCCACTGGCAAAGAGGTTTGGAAGAAGCGTCTGAATCTGGACGTGTTCCACGCGGAAGTGCAGAAAAGTAGATCAATCACAATTTTTTGCACCTGTCCACAAACACGTCCACATTCAGACACTTACTACAATCCTCTTTGCCAGTGGGATCACGCCTTCAGTCTGAAAAGTTGTGAAGAGCGATGGAGGACGCATTGCTGGTTGCAACTTGCAACCATAAGAGTTTTCGAATTCCAAGTGCGGATTGGAGTAAGTGTCTGAATGTGGACGTTTTTGTGGACAGGTGCGAAAAATTGTGATTGATCTACTGGTTGCAACTTGCAACCATAAGAGTTTTCGAATTCCAAGTGCGGATTGGAGTAAGTGTCTGAATGTGGACGTGTTTGTGGACAGGTGCAAAAAATTGTGATTGATCTACTTTTCTGCACTTCCGTGTGGAACACGTCCAGATTCAGACTCTTCTTCCATACCATCCGAATTGACCATCTGCCCGAACAGGTGAAGCCTGGAACAAGTCACATCTGTTGCAAGATGTGCAACACACGAAACACACGAAGTTCAAGATGAAATTCTGCTGTGCATAGTACGATAATTAAACCGACTTGTTCTGACTTCCCCAGTACTGAGTACTCCCAAACTACCTAATATCACAGTCCGTCCAAATTACCTAATAATGATCTCCTGAGTTTTTCTGATGGTCAGTGGTCACCACAACAGTCTCAGTTATTTGCTCTCCTGCTGGGACCGCCGGACACATATATACACAACACCCGCTAAGTAAAACTCACATTTCGTCAATGACATATGCAATCACATGGCCGATGGTATGACCACTCTTCAAGACTTGTGCAATCGAAGAGTGTGCCGAGTGTCGTGACTATAGTGTTAGTATGTTACACAACGCCTCTACACTCCAATGGTTCCTCAAGTCATCGGTGAGCACTTGTTTACCTTTCCCCAGACCGAGTATGTCTTGCCATATTAGTCCTTACGGGGCTACATCTACTCCAGGACCTGCTGCTCGTTCTGAGAGATGGGCAGTGGCAGAATGACGGAATGCATCCCCCTCCGGATAGTACGTAGCTAGTAGCTCCTTCACAAGATCTGAGGGAATGTTGGGTACAGCAGGATTTGAACCTGCGACCATTGCCTTCTGGATGACACAATCCGTGACACTCGGGCATGTTGCTAAGCAGGGAATGTGGCCAGACTTACACATGTGGTTAACCAGGGGTGTTATTTCCACTGGCGAATATTTTGCACCCCGTTAACCATCTCTCTCCATGCGATCTTCGCAGCGGCACAAACTTGAGACCTCTGTCTTCGGGATGACGATGACCAACACAGCATGGACACGAGTGTCCAGATGTGTTTGCTACGTCATCACACTCCGTCCGGATGTACCCCGCTATTGCACAAGCTTGTCACGTATACAAGCTTGTGCAATCTGAATCTGCCCGCTGGACCGCTGGTCACACCTGCAACCCAGCACGGGCGTGAGTGTCCAAAGCGCTGCTTCTGCCAGGAGGGCGATGGGCCCGCTGCCGCTGGTCAGTGGTCACATATGCATTGTGCAACGCCCCCTTCAGAATCTTGAGTTAACCAACACGAGGGAGAACTCAGGCCAAACCTTCCAAGAGTTGGCAGCCGGTCTTTGTTAACGAGACAAATTTCAACACCTTCATTGTAGAGCGCAGGACTCGCCGTCTCCACATTATAGGTAAAAATTCCGGCAAGAACCGAGATCCGCCCTCCGTGCCAACCTCCATGCCGCTTGGTGTTTGTGATCCCATTCCCATTCAAAAAGCTGAACACCGCTCAACACTTCCATGATATGTGACAGTTTACTAACGGAATGCTCCCAATACTCTGGATGCTGAGCCTTAGTCACCTTCACCATCCCAACCCCCGTCTGCAAGTGGAGCAGTTTATCCACATCTGACTTGCCCACGCTCGAGACTTGCGAGAGCACGTCTTTTCTGAAGCCATGAAGAACACTGCTGCTGCAGTGCTGCGCCCTGCACGGGCTTCGCCCTTCCACTTCGACGCTCCGGCCAAGAAAATGCGCTGTTCCTCTTCCCTCTTTGTACCTTTCTCAGTCGTCCGTGATGTTGGCAAATCCACGACTGCCAACGCTTTCCAGGTGGAGGTATGACCTCCCTCCCTCTCGCTCTTGTGGTGATGAGGGCTTCGACTGCCCTCCCTCTCGCTCTCCTGGTGATGATATCAGATCTAACACACCCAGCCACGCGGAACAACGAAGATCTCTGCTTCATGATTCTCCCAAGTGTGGCCAGCGAACCCCACGGCGCCATTAGTCCTACATACACTGAGCACGCTTCCTCATGGTAGACATCTGCCTTTCCCTAAGCCACTTGTCTTCCTAACAGCTTAAATGCCTTCCACACCACAGCCTATGAGGCTATGCCACAGCATCCACTCTACATGTACGATTACCATGCAACCTGAATAACTGCATGCCACAGCACTAACTGCATCAGTCTGTATGTGTCAGGAGGCACTGTGATCTGCATGGCATTATGCTTTGTGCTGTGGCATGCAATTATTCAGGCTGCATGCCACAGCACCAACCATACAGAGTGAACTATATAGTTGCACTCCACAGCACTAGCTGCATGGTTGCATGCCACAGCTCTAACTATACAACACTATTGATACGGTTGCATGCCACAGCATTAACTATACAGCTCTATCTATATGGTTGCATCCCACAGCATTAACTATACATGTGCTATTACGAAGCAACCTGGATAAATATCATAGGACTTATTACTTAATTCCATCTGGGGACCGTGATCTGACCTCTTTCTTCTTTTTTGTTCGTGAATTCTTTTATTTCCCCCCCCCCCCCTCTCCATAACATGTTCAACACAGAATCAACAGCATTCAGATTGACAACCAAAAAAAGTCTGAGATACTTATGGACGCGCTGCGTAAGCCCTTGCCAGATGTTAAGAGTCACAATGGAAAAACAACGAACAAAGAAAGCGAAAGTGATCAAAAGTCTCTCTCCAGACCGAACGCGCCGGAATGGGAGAAAAACAAACAAACAACGAAAGAAAAAGTGAAAAAAAGTCGTCGTTTATCAAAGAAGCTCAAGACCACACAGACTAAACTCCTTTATCATGCAGATGCAGCGAGAACAACGACATTGCTCGTCCACCGCCAAACCACCTCCTCAGACATCGCGGGATAGAATGGACACCCTCCTAGAGTTTCCTCGCAAGAGGAAACCCCCTGTTAGCACCCCTTACAAATTCAAAATTGAACACCGTAATCACCAGCTGGTCCAAACAGGCAGAGCAACCCCTGCTCCTCCCTCTCTCTCCTATGGTCCTACCTGTCATTCCAAGGCATCACACCATTTGCAACACACACAATTATCCTGCAAATTGAATTCAGTCTCATCAATTTAACACCCCACTGATCACAACCCACATCGAGCACACCATTGTGGACTACGAAGAGGACACATCCATCACTTCCTAAGTTCCTACTAGGACCAGAACGGGTGCTTTCACACACTGTTACTCCTATGGCTCTCTAGTCCACTTGCTGGCAGAGAGCAAAAACACCATCAACCATACCAATGGTCCAATGCCGCTGCACCTGCTAACTTTCTCTACAGGAAACCTGCGACGTTGCTTGGAAGCTCCTCGATTCGGCAAGTTATAGAACCTCTGGATATCTTGCAATAAGCGGGTGTCGTCCTGGGTGACGAAGTTGATGACAACACCCTTCCTTCCAAATCGCCCAACTCCACTGACACGGCGCGAGTAGTTCGACGGATGCATGGGAAGGTCATAGTTAATGACAAGGGTCATTTGCTGCATGTCACAAATAATGCGAGCATACAGATTGGTCGTAATTATCACACGACAGGAACCATATCTAAATTCCCTCATGGTGACATCACGTGTGTTCGTGTCGATATCGCCGTGGAGACAATTGACAGTGAAGTCTCGAGAGCGCAACTTGTCCGTCAACCAATCGACCTTTCTTCTCGTGTTGATGAAGATGGCACTTTGCGTGATGGCCAGCGTTTCGTACAAATCACATACCGTGTCCAGCTTCCAGTCTTCCTTGTCCACGTTTACCTTCAAGGATCCGCTCGTCTCTCTTGAGAAGAATCCTCACGGGCTTGGTCATAAACTTTCTAATGATCTCCAAAGCGTCAGCAGGCATGGTAGTCGTGAACACACCTACTTGGAGCTTGACTGGTAGAAGCTGGAAGATATCGTACACACACTCCTTAAACTTCCTGGAACACATTACGTCGGCATCATCGAGAACAAAGATCTTAATGTAGTCAGGCGTCAGCGCTCCGCGCCTAAGCATATCATAGACACGGCCAGGTGTTCCAACCACAACATGCACACCACTCTGCAGGATCCTCTGCTCTTCCCTCCCACTGTTACCTTCTACACAGGCGTGCACCTTCACCTGGAGGTAGTCTCCAAGAGCCCTCATGATCTTCTCACTCTCCATAGCCACTTCCCGGACAGGGGCAAGGACGAGGGCTTGGCATGCCAAGGTCTCGTAGTCCAGCTGCTGCAGGATTCCAGAGCAGAAGGTCACTGTCGTCTCCGTACCGCACTGTGCATGAATAATGATGTCCAGTCCTTTGCAGAATGGGACAATGCCCCTCTGCTGCACGGTCACGGGACTCTCTAAACCATATGCATAAATGCCTCTCAGCAGGTTTTCCCTGAGCCCCATAGTGTCAAAGGACTCGTGTACCTCCTCCCACGTATAGATGAAGTCTGCATCCTCCTTCAATAACAACTCCATCTTCTGGTCATAGTGACGCGCATCGAACTGTGCAGTGTCAGCTGGAATAGCCCCCATGATTGCTATTCCGCGGTGAGTTGCGATGTTGCTTGGTAGCTCCTCAATCTGTGCGTTATAGAACATTTGAATATCCTGCAAGAGCTGGGTGTCTTTCTGGGTGACGAAGTTGATGGCAACACCCTTCCTTCCAGATCGCCCTCTTTTACCGATACGATGCAAGTAGTTCTCCAGTTGCGTGGGCAGGTCATAGTTAATGACAAGGGTCACTCGCTCCATGCCAATACCGCGAACCAAGAGATCAGTCGTAGTCAGCACATGGGAGGAACTCATCACATTATCATAAGTGTCCTGATCCATATCTTTGTGCGTACCGGAGACCGTGAAGTGGCGAGAACGCATCTTGTCCATCAACCAGTCGACCTTTCCTCCTGTGTTAACGAAGATGATACTCTGCATGACGGCCAGCGTCTCGTGCAAATCACATAGATTGTCCAACTTGCAGTCTTCCTTGTCCACATTCACATAAAACTGCTTGATACCTTCAAGGGTCAGCTCGTCTCTATTGACCAGAATCTTCACAGGCTTCTTCATAAACTTTCTCACGATACCCAGAATCTCAGGAGGCATGGTAGCCGAGAACACACCCACTTGGACCTTGCCCGGCAGAAGCTGGAAGATGCCACAAATATGATCCTTATATCTAGAGAGCATAATGTCGGCGTCGTCTAGAACGAAGATCTTAAAGCAGTCGGGCTTCAGAGCTCCCTGGCGAAGCATATCGTATACATGTTCGGGTGTTCCAACGACAACATGTGCACCACTCTGCAGGATCCACTGATCCTCCCCCACACTGCGAGCTCCGACACAGGCGTGCACCTTCACCTGGAGGTAGTGTCCAAGAGCCCTCATCACCTTCTCTACCTGGTGTGCCAATTCTGGGGAAGGGGCAAGCAGGAGAGCTTGGCATGCCAACGTCTTGTAGTCCAGCTGCTGCAGGACTCCAGAACAGAAGGTCGATGTCTTTTCCTTACCCGACTGTGCCTGCTGAATGACATCCAGTCCTTTGCAGAATGGAACCATGCCCCTCTGCTGGATGATCGACGGTTTTGAGAAACCGCACACATGAATGGCTCTGAGCAGGTTGTCACTTAGCCCCATAGCGTCGAAGGACTCGTGAACCTCCTCCCACGTAGAGATGAAGTCCACATCTCCCTCCTCGTCCAGCATGGACTGCATCTTCTGGTCTTAGTAACGCGGATCACACTGTTAGGTGTCTGACAACGAAAAATCGGACCCCTCCGCACCACCCCCCCCCCTCAACACACACACACACACACACACACACACAAACGAACATAACTGCCCCAGGCAAGCAGGCCCAACCACGAGCACAAGCACAGGTACTCACTTAGAAGACGTCAATTCGATACTCCGATTCGGTCCCCAAGAAGGGTTGCTTTTGGCAGCAGAAAAGAAGGAAGGGAATCTCTGACCCGTGGTACACACAGGCTTTTGTCAATTTCTAGCTGTTAAGGGTGTCTCACGAGATATGACTTCTCTGACACCCATCCTACGCTGACAAACAGGCAAGCAAATTAAGCTATGATAGCAAAGTGCCTACCTAATTATAGTCTGACTGTCTTGGAAGGTGAGTTCTGTAGCCTGAGCTTCTGGACTCAAGGATTATGAAGGTCGCGTTTATGAGGTTGAAGACGGTAGAGGGTATAGGGTTTAAGGGGCTCAAGGGATAAAATAGGTCTGGCATTCTAATGGGGGGCTGCTGACCAGGGCTGGGCTAACAAATACGGAGTGCTCTAAGAAGGGAGGGAAATCACTAGCAGCTCCATGGGACAACGGAGACCCGAGTCTGAGAAGAGAAAAAGCCCACAGCCGCAGGAAACAACAAACAGCGATCTTCATGTTATAAGATGTATCAATGGGACGCTGGACCCGGTTTCCAGCAGGTGCCGCTCCCCACCAATAGATGGAGCAGCCCGACAGATAAACCCTCAATCCTGACGGTTCTCCTACCACCGCCGGGATAGAGGGCTTACATAAGGGATAGAGGGTTTACATAAGGGCTATTCGTGTGAAAAAAAAAGAAAAAAGAAAAAAGAAAGAATATCTGACATACCAACAAGCCTCGCTCAGTTCGTACACCCGCAAACTACAGACCCAAGGTCAAATCCAGACAGAGTCAAAAGCCCAGAATAAAATAATTCTCCATTACCTGGGACGGTCATTTCAAACATGATATCTCACAAGCCCATCGCCCTCTGAAAAGACAAAGAAAGAAAGAAAGAAAAAAGAATCGCTGACAAGATTACTGGAATAATTGGTGGAAAGTGCCCATGCCAAAACCTTTTCAGTTTCCTTTTCGGTTTTGGGCGCCCAAAGTCTGGGCGTTTGGTACTACTGGTGCAAAACTTTTTACACTTGGGTGTAAGGCACCTTCGCCTCGTAGCCACAGCTTGTTTTGCCTACTTTTATCGGATTATGAATCTGGCGCTGATTTCGCACCAGATGCATGAACCGGTACCATACTTGGGCCTTGTATTCTCCGCTGGTGGTACGGCCTTCAGCCTCTTCTACGTCACTATGAATCTGGCCCTGTTTATGTGCCAGATTCATGATCCGGTACGACCCATTCGAGTGCATGTAGGCCAGTAGTACCCACATGGAAGAGTTTGGGCGTGCAGTACCAAACGTCCTAACTTTGGGCATCGAAGCAGGATTGCACACCCCTACGGTCGGCGGCCTTTGACTGGTCGGCTGCCGACCCAAAGACCGGGCCACTGGTGGGCACCTACCGGTCAGGGGTCGTCGGCACCCCACAAAAAAAAAAAAAAACAGCACCCCTAATAACACCACCAACACCCCCATAGCTGCCCCCAATACCCCCATACACCCCCCCATTGCTCCCGAACCACCCCCAACGTCCTTATTAACTCCCCCAATATCCCCTATATCACCCCTATACTCCACCTATACTCCTGTCTCTTATACACATCTAGATGTGTATAAGAGACAGCCCCTATACCCCCCTATCCCCCCCTATAGGCCCCTTATACCCCCCTTATACCCCGCCTATACTCCAACCCCAACCCCCCCCCTACGCCCCCCATCCCCCAAAAGTTTCTCAGAGGATTTGGGATGTACTCAGCAAGCGCAGTACAGCCCCCAACTCAGACCTGAAAAAAATCAAAGGACGGTTGTTTTCTGACGGGTCAACTGACCGCAGACTGGTCGGCCCTTACTAGTCGGCTGCAATACAGTCGGGCTGCAATACAGTCGGCGGTCCGGGTCGGCGGCCGGCAGGCATGCAACCCTGTGCCCAAGACCGAAAAGGCTTTGTTGTTGGCGCTTTCCACCAATTTTCCCAAGATTGTCTGACAAAGGGGCAAGTAGCAGCGGTGCTGACCCAGGGTCGGCGGCAGCCCTGTCTTCAAGAGGGCCCCCTGAAATTTGATCCTTTTTGGGCTCATAACGCCAGACTCCTGGGTCTGTACCTGCAGACCCTTAGAAATTGGCATTCGCCAACCCGGCTAAGTGGCCCAGCGGGAACTGTTTCAAGTGTGCCCCTCCACATTTAATCCAGGCTCATGGGTGGTCTAAGACTTGCTTTCCAGTCACCCCCCTTCGAGAGCCCGAAGCAGGGGATGCATCCCTGCATTTTCTGCAGCCTTGGCACGGATCCTTGGACAGTCCCTATGGTAACTTGGTAAGGATCATAAAACAGACCAGAGGTTTGAAGAACCAAGAGTATGAAGCAAGTAAATAATATAAGCATTAGCTAGCAACCGTATCTGACTTCATAGTAGAGGCGCGCAAAAGAGTTTGAGGAGTACCACTTGTATTCGGGTGATGGCATTTTCCTTTTTCATCCACATACCCAACACTTACTAGGGAATTCGGACAGCTCATAATTTTTTTCCCTCGGGAATTTCTTTTTTTCGTTTTTTTTAAGAAACAGTCCGAGCGGCGACTAGGGGTGCTGATATGATCAGACACCGATAGTAGTGCCGGGATGGCTCCATCTATTGGTGGGGAGCAACACCTGCTGGAAATAGGGTCCAGCGTCCCTGTAAAGTAGTTTTAAAATGCAAATACACAGTTTGATGTGCATCGTGTCAGGTAGGAGAAGAATAAGCCAGTGAAAGTACCTCTGGAATTCCTAAAATCACTTTGTGAGCCAGCAAAGCTGAAACATGTCTTTTGAACGACGTACTTACTACATAGGCATTTTTTATTTTATTTTTGGGGTAACTTCGGCGCAGTCACGAAAACAGTTTGTAATTCCACTTCAGGCAATCCCGCGAATACAACACACCCCCACGCGACCTTCGTATACATTCAGCATTAACGGCCCTTTTGCCTCAAGTGCAATTACAAACTCAATCCCTGACTGCGCCGTAGTTTTCTCTTTATTTTTTTATAAGGGCCCAATGCCCAAGGCTGATAGGCATTAGCTTCTCTTTATTTTTTTACAAGGGCCCAATGCCCAAGGCTGATAGGCATTAGCTAGGAATGGTCTGTACTTGTATCGGGGGAAAAAAAAAAAAAAAACGTCCCAAAAAAAAAAAAAACAGACCTGAGTGAAGAGTATAGTGAATCAGCACGAGATGTCTGCAACAATCTGTCAACCTAAGCGTCTTTCGTGTAAGGGACGCTAGACCCCTGGACCCGTTTTCCAGCAGGTGTAACTCCCTGCCAATAGATGGAGCGGCAAACAGACCTTACAAGCGGAGGCTGCTCATACCGCCCCCTCTAGTAGGGACCACAGCCTTTTTCCAACAAGCAGAAAGGACCTAAGCGTCTTCCAAACTTTCACCTTAAAACACCAGTACTTCCTAGAGTCGTGCCTGTTAACGTGCCATGATTTGAGGAAACGTACGGGCTAGTGGCTGTCTCTTATACACATCTAGATGTGTATAAGAGACAGACCTTAAAACACCAGTACTTCCTAGAGTCGTGCCTGTTAAACCACCAGTACTTGGGCGACGCCTTAGCGTTAACGCTACGAGAATTTCGCTACCGGCGGGCCGTCGATAAATCGTATCAACAGCCCGCGCCGCTTCAAAAAAGGTGCGGCCGGTGCGGCGCGCAGTGCCCAAGTACTGGTGGTTTAATGCGCCACGATTTTAGAAACTACAGGACCGCCCAAATTCATGATCGGACTAGAAACATTTCTACTCTTTTTTTTTCCACGGCCGATAGCTGGGCCAAGTAATGGTGGTTTAAACCACATTGTCAAGTACACGGCCCCAGCCTTGCAGTCCGAAACTTGTCGCCACAAGAAAACGAGGCCGGAATGTCAAACGCCGGGACCACCATTGATAAATTGGATCGGCGGTCGTGGTTTCGCTTTGTGCCTCCAGAATTTGGGGTGTGAGGCCTGCGTCCCAGGTGCCCATATACTGGACCAGGTGCTTTAAGCCCAACATTTTTCACCAGGTCCTGGAACCGACGGATCTAACCATCATACTCAGAGCGTAAATGTTTGTGGCTGTTAGAATACAGAGGAAAGGCAGCCATAGCTCCATAGCTTAAGATTAGTTGATTCTTATCCTCTCATAGCTAGCGCCCGTTATCCCTCACCTTTGAGTTGGTCTTGATCATGTGTCTACCGAACGCTAGGAGAGGTCTAAATGTTTGGGGCATACTTCTCACAACGAAACACTTTCTAGGGGTCTTCGTTAAAATAAAGCCAGTCGTTTGTAACTGTTGAGCAGCACTGCTGCAGCAGTACGCTGTGACGCCCTAACCTCACGCCCAGCGCGACTTCCTGATCGGAGTGGGATGTGGGCCTGGAAGTGCGAAAAGGGGTGCGAAAAGGATTTTTGGGAAAGTGGGGGAGTCTTAGGGGTATAAGTGCAATAGGCGAATAAGGGGTGTGTGCGCAAGGGACTCAAGGCCCGATCGGACCGGGGTACTGTGGGCGACAGTTTGCAGGGAAGTCCCTCCGCGGCGGAGGCGGTCCCGAAAAGTTGGGCCGTCAGGTGCCGCCACGTGGCGCAGGCCGCTGTGTATTTGGGTTGGGCCTTCGGAATTCCGGGGTTCTCCGTTCGCCACTACGTCGGCAATTCCCGCAAGGCGTGCTGGGCCAATAGGGGGCTATGGCCGGCCACGGAACGACGCTGAGTTGATGATACGGGAGAAGAAAGCGAAAAGGAGGGAAGCTGGCGGTGATGACGACAAATCCCGGGTGGATGAAATAGTAGGTATGGTCGGGGGAAGAGAAATCAGAGCACCGGGGGTCGCTAGAGGTGGCGCAGTGGAATTCCCATGGACACAGTCGATTCTCCGTGTGACAGGGGTATCGCAGTCTTAGGAGTTCGTTTATCCAAGGGGTGAAGTAATCCGGGTCGTAGGATGAGTCTGAGCTCCAAGATCGCGTC